GGGGGGGGGGGAGGGGAGGAGGGGAGGAGGAGGAGGAGGAGGAGGAGGAGGAGGAGGAGGAGGAGGAGGAGGAGGAGGAGGACGAGGAGGAAGAGGAGGAGGAGGAGGAGGAAGAGGAGGAGGAAGATGAGGAGAGGCGGAGCAGGAGAGCGCTGGCTCTGGCGGGCCCCCTTGGGCCTTGCGAGCCTTTGCCAGGAGGCCTCAGCCGGCCTCTCCCTTTTGCCTCATCCCCTCATCTCCCCCTCGCACGACATGCAGCCATGGTCCCAGGCCGCCCGCCCACGCCGCTCGGCCGCTGAGCGCCGTGCACTCTCGCACCGCGCTCAGGCTCGGGCTGCCCAATGCTTGATCAAGGCGTTCGTTGCCTTCGACCACAGCGGGTGCCGCCCCTCCCGCATGGGTACGGCGTTGGACGCTGCTCGTCGCACAGGCTCTGGCTCACCTGCTCCAACCCAACAGTGCATGCGGGCGTGCCCGTCTGTTGTTCCCACTCGACAGGACGGGGTGGTTAGATTATAAAAACAGACCTTCCGGCCCACCCGCCCTGCATACCGCGGCCGCCAGATCCCCAGGCTCCCGGAAATCCATGGTGGTCCCGCCCCCCCCCCCGCCCTCATACCGCGGCCGCCAGATCCCCAGGCTCCCGATAATCCCTGGTGGTCCCGCCCCCCCGCCCCCCCTGCATACCGCGGCCGCCAGATCCCCAGGCTCCCGATAATCCCTGGTGGTCCCGCCCCCGCGCCGACTCGCCCACTCTGCATACCGCGGCCGCCAGATATCCAGGTCCCCCACAGAACAGAGCATAACACCACACCACCGAACAGAACATATCCGAGCATAACATAAAATATCATGACAGACCATCTCGTGAGATAACAACCATGACAGAGCAGTGCATACCACAGTACAGCATCACACCACATATCACTCCATAACATGACAAATCCAGCTGATCGTAACAAGTCAACGCAGAACTGGACATACCAAAACAGACCATGTCACATCAGCACATAAAATGGCATCGCACATCACGGCACAGCACAGCATAACAACGCATGGTATGACATATCGGAGCATGCTTAACATAGCATAAAAGAGCAGAACGTAACGTGGCATAACACAGACCGAGACCACCGCGCCCCGCGCACATCGTTCCAATGAGCGCGCGCACATTCGGGATCAAACGCCGAAGGTTTCGGTGGGGGACCCTCGAAGCAAAATGCTTGTTTTTCATGTTATTTCCAATCATCATGTGGTCTTGGGTCCTCGTGTTGAATACGCATGGCGTCACGATCTTCATCTTTCTATCCTCCTCCCCCTCCTCCTCCCATCCTCGCCGCTGCCCCCTTGCACTTAGGCACACACCTCAAATGCTTCGTGGTGCAGAGGGCGCTCCACCGAAGGCCGCAGTGGCTGCGTTCACATGGCGTGCCCACCTCCGTTCGGCACACCCCTCACGCTTCGTGGCCCCATAGGGAGTTCCACCGAAAGCCCCGGTGGCTGCGTGCACTATTAACATGGCACGCCCGTCCCCGATTCGGCACACCCTTACACGCTTCGTGGCGCCATAGGGAGCTCCACAGAGGTCCTTAGTGGCTGCGCTTATATGGCGTACTCGCCCTCGACTCGGTATACCCCTCACAGGCGTCGTTGCCCATAGGGAGCTCCACCGAAATTCCCAGCGGCTGCGTTCACATGGTGTAACCGCCTCCGATTCGGCACACCCCTCATATGTGTCGTGGTCCCATCATAGTGAGCTTTACCGAAGGCGCCAATGGCTGCGGTCACACGGCGTATCCGCTCCCGACTCGACACACCCCTAACACGATCGTGGCCCCATACGGAATTCCACCGAAGGCCGCAGTGGCTGCGTTCACATGGCGCACCCGCCCCCGATTCGACAAGTCCCTAACACGCTCCGTGGCCCCGTAGGGAGCTCCACCCGCCCCCGATTCGGCACACCCTTCATATGTTTTGTGGTCACAAATGGGGCTCCACCGATGGCGGCACCCACAACTGCAGATTGGGTCCTTCATCGGGCTAGTTGTTTTTTGTTCGCTCGCGCACCCCTGCGTGCGTCTCTGCGCCCTCTGGCACCGAGCATCTACCGCCCAAATGTGGCGATCCACGTGGTTGTGAGCGCCAGTGGGCCATTAGACTCAGGCGCTTCAGCTCAGGCCAAAATGATGTAAAGCATGCCGTGGATTCGGTTCTGTGGAGGCCCCCACACTCATGGGGGGCCCACGCGCCAGGAAGATCCCCCATGGCGTCACCAGGCTGGGCAACCTGGAAGCTGCCCTGCTCCGCGCTGCCTGTAGGGGGCCACGTGCGAACCCTACCCCTACCCTCCTTGGCTTCTGAGTGGGAGGGTGGGGTTCACCTCGTCCGGGAGCTCCCGAGCGAAGTGAACCCCACCCTCCCCCTCAGAAATCGTGGGGGGTAGGGGTAGGGTTCGAATTTGGTCCCCTAGCCTGGAGAAGGGGAGACGGGGTCGAGAAGCTCAGACGCGGGCCTGGGGGGTGCGGTCGCGGTCGAGGCAGTCCTTCAGCTCGTCGGTTTCAAACGGGGCGGGCCCGGCTGCGTTCTCGCCCCCCTCGCGGGCCGCCACGATCCACCCCTCGAGGGGCATGTTCCAGTAGGGCTGGTAGATGACGCAGTGCGGGTTCAGGAACGCTGGCACTTGCGAGAAGCTGCTCTTGGCCATGACGAGGACCCTCGCCCGGGCCATGGCAACCCAGGAGTCCAGGATGTTCCCGTCGAGGTGCACAGTCATGTGCCTCAGTCTGTAGCCGTCGAAATCCTGGGAGGCGTAATTGCCCTCGGTGGAGCTGAAGACGTGCACGTCTGCGTCTGGCAGCACGGTGCGGATTCGCCGTACCACCTCGTAGTACCAGGCGTCGGGGGTCATCCTATGGCCCTCCCCGTAGGAGTCGTTGGCGGCCACAACGTCGCCGCGCCGCAGATGCACCGCCACCAAGGGAAGCTTCTGATCCGGCATCCAGGCGGGGAGCATCCAGTCGTCGAACAGAGCGGTCGAATCGCGCAGCGACTGCAAGAATCGCGGCGTGAGAAGGTCTGACATGCGAAAGCCAGCTGCAGGCAGGGAGGCCACGACGCTCCTGTCCCGAACTACAACGTGGGCCCCGTCGGGCACAGCACGGTCTCTCACTAACGCGTTGCGAAAATCTTTCAGCCCTCTGTAGTCAAGGTCGAAAGGCGGAGGGTCCTCCACGAACAGGTCCCCTGGCACGCTGATCCCAAGCACCCCAGCCGCGGCAACGAAGACGTCCGTCCCGTGCGACTGGTTGCAAATTTTCGTCGAGATCAGGCCACCGAAGCTCATGTTGAGGTTGGCGGCGATGGCCATCCATAAGATAGCATCCTGCAGCCTGGCGCCGGCTCCATCGGCCCGCTCCACGGCGTACAAAGTCCACCGACCCCTTGTGGATCTCCAGGCGTGCGAGACAGTTCCCCCCCAAAATCCCCCCAATGACCTTCAATTTTCAATTTGACCCGCACCCCTGCGCCCCGGACGACCTCCAGGTGAATTCATCACGGGGGGATCCCGCCCACCCGGGCGCTTTTCCAGGCTCCAAGACGGCCTTCGCGGACTCCAACACGGGTAAGAAAGCCCGAAGACAACTCAATGCAGCTTCATCTAGTCTCCAGAAGATTCCGAAGACGGTCGAAGACGTTTCCAGAGACGGCATACGATGCTTCGACGATGCCCCAATAAGGCTCTAAAAGACTCCCCGAGATAGACCCTGGGGGCTAAAATTGCTAATGTCCCTTAGGTTCTCTTTAGAGATAGCCAGCGTGGACCCAAAACAATGACCTCCTGCTATCTATGCGGCGCAATCTAGGTGGTGCAATCAAGGTGGTGCAATGTAGATGATGCAAACCATGTGATGAAATATATGTGGTGCAAGGCACTGCAAAGCAACGCGAAGCCGTGCAATGCAATCCAAAGCGATGCATAGCAACGGAAAGCAGCGCAAAGCAATGCAAAGCAGTGCAAAGCAATGCGAAGCAGTACAAAGCAATGCAAAGCAAAGCAATGCAAAACAATGCAATGCAAAGCAATGCTAAGCAATGCTAAGCAAGACGAAGCAATTCAACGCAATGCGATTGCAATACGAAGCAATGCGAAGCAGCGCAAAGCAATGCGATTGCTTTGCGAAGCAGTGCAAAGCAACGCGATGCGATTGCAAAGCAAAGCCGCGCAACGCAATGCACTGTAAAAAAGGCAAGGCCATGCAAAGCAAGGCTTAGCAAGGCAAAGCACGGTAAAGCACAGCAAAGCAGAGCAATGCGATTGCAATGTGCAAAGCAATGCGATGCGAGTGCAAGGCAATGCAAAACAAAACAAAGCAAGACAATGCAGCACAATAAGGAACAATACCAAGCAATGCAAGGCAATGCGAAGCAACGCAATGCGATTGCAATGCAAAGCAATGCCAAGAAATGCAACGCAATGCACTTACAGTGCGACTCAACGGAAAGCAATGAACATCAATGCAGAACGTTACAAAACAATGCACATCAACGCAACATGACGGAATGGGGCCCAAGGCCATGCGAATCCATATATCGCAATGCAAAACAATGCCAAGCCATGCAAAGCAACGCAAAGAAATGCAAATCAATGTAAAGCGGTACAAAGCAATGCAGCGCAAAGCAGTGTAAAGGGAACGCAGCGCAATGCAAAGCAATGCAAAACAGCGCAGTGCGATTGCAACCCGATGCGATGACACGTAACGTAGAGGATTACAAAGCGACGCAAGACACTGCAATGCAAAGCAAGGCTTCGCAAGGCAAAGCAACGCAAAGCAACGCGAAGCAACGCAAAACGATCGCAATGCTAGGCAATACAAAGGGACGCAAAGCGATGCAAAGCAACGCAAAGCAATGCAATGCAAAGCAAAACAACGCACCGCAAAGCAACGCAGAGCAACGCAACGCGGTTGCGATGCAAAGCAAGCAAAACCATGCAAAGCGGCGCAAGGCCATACAAAAACAAAGCACCGCAAGCCCTTTCAAAGCAGTACAATGCGATGCGAAGCAAGGCGATGCGATTTAAACAAAGCCAGGCAAAGCGATGCAGAGCAATGCAAAGCAATCCAATGGCAACGCAATGCGAGGCGTCGGGCTCAAGCCAGGCGCCCAGCGCGCAGCCCGCGGCCCAGCGCGGCGGGCGCGCGCGACGGAGCCACGCCCGCGAGGGAGAGATCCCCCTCGCCAGCGTGGCACAGGAGGCTGAGAAAGCGGAGATCCTCAGCCCGCAGACTCCTCAAGCTGGTGCAGGCGCGCGAGCTGCTGGAGTCACACCACGGGAGCATGGCGAAGAAGGCCTGGACCTGGGAGGAGAAGCAGAAGGGCTGGCAGGATGGCCAGGACTACACCCGCTGTGCGACGTGGGGGTGCAGGGGCTGGATCGCGGACGCCATCTGGAAGCCAGGCCCGCAATGCCACCACTGTGAGGCCACCTTCAGGAAGCCGTGGAGCGTCGAGCGGGCGGAAGCTTCATCCAGCTCCACCTCGACGAGCCAGTCGTGGACAGGTGGCCGACAACGTGGGAGGAGGAGGCCAGAAGCTGCGGAGAAGGCGGCGAAGCAGGAGCTCTTCGCAGGCGCTGGCCGTCATGGCAGAGAAGCCGGGGACCACGAAGCTGGAGAACCGCGAGCACACAGGCACGCAGAGGCAGGCACTCTCGCGCAGCACGTCGCACGGGCCACTCCGCCACTCCTCCTCCTCATCCTCCCCCTCCTCCTCCTCCTCCTCCTCCTCCTCCTCCTCCTCCTCCTCCTCCTCCTCCTCCTCCTCCTCCCGCTGAAGTCCAAGCCTGAGAGGATGGCGGAAGCCGCGGAGGCGCTGAGGATCGTGAAGACGCACCTCCTCGCGGTGGCAGCGGAGGTCAAGCAGCAGAGGGCCCGGCTGCGCGAGCTGGAGCCCAAGCTATAAGCGAGCAGGCGGCCGCCGTTGCCGCACAGGAGAGAGCACCCTGGAGGCAACCCGCGCAGAGGGCACGGAAGGGCAGCAGCAGAGCCTCACGCGGCAGCTGATCACCCAGACGCCCGAGGACACGGCGCTCGACGGGATCGTCGACCTTGAGGGCGAGCTGGAGTTGGAGGATGACGACATGGACGAGGCAACGCGCCACGCGGTCGTGGAAGCCAAGAGGAAGGCACGGCAGGACCTCGAGGAGGGAGCCAGGTCGTGCGCACGGCAGCCGCAGGAACGCCTCCGAACGGCAGAAGAGGCGGCGGCGAGGAGCAGGGAGGCGACCAGGCAGGAGGCGAAGAAGAGGAAGGTGGAGACCCCGATGGCGGGAGCACCAGCTGCTGCAGCAGCGGCAGCAGGCGCACCTCCGGGACCAGTCCGCGCGGCAGTCGTGGGGGGCGCACGCCGGACGCTGCCGCGGTCGAGGTCGACAGCGACGACGACGCGGAGAGGTGGAGGAGGAAGTGCTCGAGCAGGCCAGGGCCAAGATCGCCACGGCGGGCGGGACGACCCCAGGCAGGCAGGAGTGACTCCTGCACCCTGACGCCCGCACCTGCAAGACCGACCAGGGCGTCAGGAGCAGATTCGTCGGCAAAATCACGAAGTGGGGCCCTGCTGTGGAGTCGTGGCTTCGGGATAAGCACCTGAAGATTAATGGCAGCGAGCACAGTGGGCAAGGATTCGACACACACCTAATTCAGGAGAACCACCTTCGACACCACCTGCTGGAGGAGGAGGAGGAGCTCCTCACCAAGTGGGGCTTGAAGGCGTGCTTCGCAGCATCTCAACCTTACGTCAAGTCCGAGGAGGCTTGAGAGGAGGAGTGATGACAACCACGAGGTCGCACTTCAAGAGCTCGTTCTTCCGGGAGTACGCGGCGTACGGCAGTGTTTCGGGGACTACTGCTGGCAGTCGTGGGGGGAAAAGACAAGCCATGGGAACAGAAGACTTGGGTCTACTTCAGATGGAGGACGGGACTGCGATGACATGGCATTTGAAAGGATATAGTATCGTAGTCATCGCGATCCACCTGAGGTGCGACCAACCGCTGAAGGAGGGAGCCAATGCACAGCGATTGGCTGAGGTGGCGAGGTTTACACGGTCTTTGAGGAGAGGTGCAAAGGACTACGCGCGCTGGGTAGCCAACATGGAGGCCAGCACGCCAGGCGCCCTGCACAAGATCACGAAGCCCAAGAGGAGGCACGAGGACGAATACGTCAAAGAAGGACGGAAGGCCACGAACCCGAAGGACAGCGTCGACCCGAAGGCAGAAGACTTCAAGGAGATATGGAAGCACACCAGCAAGCACGAGGATGCGGTGGAAGTGATCAACATGCTGCGCGAAAGGGCGCAAGAGGAGCCCACGCCAAGCTGGACACTTGAGGAGTTCGACGAATCGATCAAGGGTGTCCCCAACAAAGGCAAAGGCACGGACATGCTGCGAGAAGGGAAAGCGAGACGAACGCAGGACCAAGAATCAGAGACACCGACACTAGCTACACCAAGACAACAGAGGCCTGTGGCAGAGGCCAGACAGGACGACGGAAGCCAGGGACCAAGGACACCGACACCAGCGACATCGAGAGCGAGACAGTGGCTTGCATCAAGGGCCAGAGAGGCTACGAAGAGAACTGCACCATACCACATGGACAACCCCGAGGCGGACAGCGCAGAGGAGGACCTGGAGGAGCGGAACTTCTACCGAGGTGCACCCCTCCAGCCAGAACTGGAAGGGCTAGAGGTATCGGGGGACCAAGCAGTGGGAAGCCTGCCATGGCCCAACACCGCAGGGTCCCTTCCAGCAGCCTCGGCAGCAGGAGGCGGCAACGATCCTGGTATCGAGGCGGCGAGCCAGGTGCGAGGCTGCGACGCCTGGAACGGCACAGAGACAGGGGGCAGCGAGCTGGAGGAGGAGAAGCCCACCAACACCGAGCAGAAGGACCAGCAAGTCAAGACGACCGCGCTGAACCGCACGGAGGACAAACATCTCGAGATGAAGCACACCTGGGGGAGAGCGGAAGAATCGATATACATCAGCGACTCGGCGGCGTTTAGGGCAAAGGAGATGGAAGCTGCCAAGTTTGGACAGCAATACCACCACTTAGAGTCCTCGATGGAGAGCGTCTACTGCGAAGCCTGCGAAACCAGCGAGGAGGACCAAAAGAGGTACAAAGGCAGAGGCAGAGCGTACGAGTTCCAAGAGGAGGAGGTCTGATAATCGGGAGCAAGGCGGGTATATGGGCCAGCTTGCTGGATGAGAAGGATCGCACCACGAGCTTGGACTATGCCACCAATATGCAGAACTGAGTATCAGCCAACACGGACAGGCTCAGCAGCCAACATCGCCAACGAGTTGCACGGCGAGAAGCTGAACTTGACGGAGGGCATGATGGCATGCGGAGACGAAAGAGGAGGCGAACACGGAGGCGACGCAAGGTACAGGAGATACGGCTGGGGCTGGACCATCATGTAGAGCAATGGTGAAATCTGGCAAGAGGCGGCAACTGTGCAGCGTCAGCTTCCAGGAGCCCGCAAACCCAACAACAGGACGGAGATCACGGCGTTCTCGGACTGCCTGCAGGCGACGGAAGGCGACCTGGTCTTCTACACGGACGTCGACAGCCTCTGCAAGGGCTGGTACAGCAGGAGGCTTACATCCACGGGCTACAAGAAGGCATACGGAGACCTCTGGAAGGGGATCAGACAGCGACTGGAGTCACGAAGAGACGCCGAGGTGAGAGTGCAACAAATAGAGAACCACGAGACGATCGAGCAAACACAGAATCGAGAAGTACCGCGAGGTCACCCTGGAAGGTAAGGCGACGGCAATGCACAAGATCCCGAGGGCGCAGATGGGCTGCTATGACTGGACCAGGGCGACAGCGCACAGGGTCAGAAAAAGCATCGGCAGAACCTACATGGAGCAGTTCGAGAGGACTAAGCCCACGGCATGGGAAGAGGGGGCCGAAACAAAACTCAGGAGGAAGCAGGCGCAGCCAGAGGTCGAGTCCGTCATGAGCGCGCAGGCCAACGCCCCGCACTTGCAGAAACGTGAAGGGAGGACTCGGTCGCGCACACGAGACAGAGACTCGATTGGGAGGCACTAGCGGTCAAAGGCGTCGTCGAGATGGAGGCTCATGAGATGCAAAGGAGGAGCAGATGGCCAAGTTGAACACCAAGAAAGAGAAACGTATCCCGGCAAAGCAACCTAACAGCGATGTGTAGGAGCATATCTGGAAGCATTCCCCTTAAGATTCAGATGAGAATCCAGTTGTAGAGTTCTGCTGTTCTCGCAGTCGTAGTCGCATTCGCGATGACAGTCGCAGTGGCAATGGCAGTGGCAGTCACAGCCTCAGCCTCAGCCTGCCTCAGCCTCAGCCTGCATCAGCCTCAGCCTCAGCCTGCCTCAGCCTCAGCCTCAGCCTGTTTCAGCCTCAGCATCAGTCTGCCATCAGCCTCGGCCTCAGCCTCAGCCTGCCTCAGCCTCAGCCTGCCTCAGCCTCAGCCTCAGCCTCAGCCTGCCTCAGCCTCATCAGCCTGCCTCAGCCTCAGCCTCAGCCTCAGCCTCAGCCAGCCTCAGCCTCAGCCTCAGCCTCAGCCTCAGCCTCAGCCTCAGCCTCTCAGCCTCAGCCTCAGCCTCAGCCTCAGCCTCAGCCTCAGCCTCAGCCTCAGCCTCAGCCTCAGCCTGCCTCAGCCTCAGCCTGCCTCAGCCTCAGCCTCAGCCTCAGCCTCAGCCTCAGCCTCAGCCTGCCTCAGCCTCAGCCTCAGCCTGCTTCAGCCTCAGCTCAGTCTTCAGCCTCAGCCTCAGCCTCAGCCTGCCTCAGCCTCAGCCTGCATCAGCCTCAGCCTCAGCCTCAGCCTGCCTCAGCCTCAGCCTCAGCCTGCCTCAGCCTCAGCCTCAGCCTCAGCCTCAGCCTCAGCCTCAGCCTCAGCCTCAGCCTGCTTCAGCCTCAGCCTCAGTCTGCCTTCAGCCTCGGCCTCAGCCTCAGCCTGCCTCAGCCTCAGCCTGCATCAGCCTCAGCCTCAGCCTCAGCCTGCCTCAGCATCAGCCTGCCTCAGCCTCAGCCTCAGCCTGCCTCAGCCTCAGCCTCAGCCTGCTTCAGCCTCAGCCTCAGCCTCAGCCTCGGCCTCAGCCTGCCTCCTCAGCCTCAGCCTCAGCTGCCTCAGCCTCAGCCTCAGGCCTCAGCCTCAGCCTGCTTCAGCCTCAGCCTCAGTCTGCCTTCAGCCTCGGCCTCAGCCTCAGCCTGCCTCAGCCTCAGCCCAGCCAGCCTCAGCCTCAGCCTGCCTCTCAGCCTCAGCCTCAGCCTGCCTCAGCCTCAGCCTCAGCCTGCTTCAGCCTCAGCCTCAGTCTGCCTTCAGCCTCGGCCTCAGCCTCAGCCTGCCTCAGCCTCAGCCTGCATCAGCCTCAGCCTCAGCCTCAGCCTGCCTCAGCATCAGCCTGCCTCAGCCTCAGCCTCAGCCTGCCTCTGCCTCAGCCTCAGCCTGCTTCAGCCTCAGCCTCAGTCTGCCTTCAGCCTCGGCCTCAGCCTCAGCCTGCCTCAGCCTCAGCCTGCATCAGCCTCAGCCTCAGCCTCAGCCTGCCTCAGCATCAGCCTGCCTCAGCCTCAGCCTCAGCCTCAGCCTCAGCCTCAGCCTGCTTCAGCCTCAGCCTCAGCCTGCCTTCAGCCTCGGCCTCAGCCTCAGCCTGCCTCAGCCTCAGCCTGCTCAGCCTCAGCCTCAGCCTCAGCCTCAGCCTGCTCAGCAGCCTGCCTCAGCCTCAGCCTCAGCCTGCCTCAGCCTCAGCCTCAGCCTGCTTCAGCCTCAGCCTCAGTCTGCCTTCAGCCTCGGCCTCAGCCTCAGCCTGCCTCAGCCTCAGCCTGCCTCAGCCTCAGCATCAGCCTGCCTCAGCATTCAAAATGTGTCCCGGGAATGGAGTTCTGGGAACTCGAAGAACACGAAGTGGCCTACAGTTGGCTCCGCGTATTCAAAATCATGCCCAGGAACGGAGTTCTGGGAACTCGAAGACCACGAAATGGACTACAGTTGGCCCCGGGCATTCAAAATGTGGCCCGGGAATGGAGTTCTGGGAACTCGAAGAGCACGAAGTGGCCTACAGTTGGCTCCGCGTATTCAAAATGTGGCCCGGGAATGGAGTTCTGGGAACTCGAAGAGCACGAAGTGGCCTACAGTTGGCTCCAGGCTTTCAGAATGTGGGCCGGGAATGGAGTTCTGGGACCTCGAAGACCACGAAGTGTGTAACTGTTTGCTTAAAACGACTTCCGCGGATTCTTCCCGGATCTTGCCCGGACCCCCCTGGGGAGTCATGATGCTCTCTTTTGAGACCACTAGAAACCTATCAATCTTCGCTGTTAGGTAAAAAAGTCCCTAGTCCGCAAAGGCAAAATCTCCCACCCGTCGCATAAGATCTGCTGGTCGAGGCACAAAGGGAGATACTACTGCTGGAGTCGCGGAGCCTCAGGGGAGAAGCACCTCAGCTACAAGAAAGGGAACCAGTGCGAAGGGTGGCCATCAGGGCAAGCATCGAGTTATGCCCTCAAGTCGCTCAGAGCAACGAAGGACTGGTGGCCTGGCGCTGGTACGAGACGGTGCAAGAGCTCCATGGCGAGGTTCACGAAGACCGAGAAGACCGAGGAGAAGGAGAGCTGCGGCGGGACGGCGGCGACGCCTGCGCGCCGCGCCGCTGAGCGGGGGGCTGCCGCCTGCAGCTCCAGACAGTCGTCGACTGTTAATAAAATTCGGGGGAAAGTTAACGCAATGCGATACAAAGCAATGCAGAACAATACAAAGCAACGTAAAGCAATGCAAAGCAACGTAATGCAATGCAAAGCCGTGCATAGAACAGAAATCGACGCGAAGCAACGCAAAGCAATGTTAAGACAAACAATGCAACGCAAAGCACTGCAAAGAAACACAATGCGATTGCAATACGAAAAAGTGCAATGCGATGCAATGCAATGCGATTGCTTTGCGAAGCAGTGGAAAGCATCGCGATGCAAAACAAAGCAATGTAAACAATGCGATGCACAGTCAGGCAAAACACGGCAGCGCAACGCAAAGTAGTGCGACGCGGTTACAAAGCGACGCGAGACACTGCAATGCAAAGCAAAGAAGTGCAAAGCAACGCAAAACAATACCAAGCAATGCAAGGCAATGCGAAGCCACGCAATGCGATTGCAATGCAAAGCAATGCGAGGCAATGCAACGCAATGCGGTTCCAATGCGAAGCAGCACAATGCAACAACAAAAAAAAACGAAAAAAAAATGCAAAGCAATGCAAAGCAATGCAAAGTAACGGAATGAGGCGCAACACGATGCAAATGCAATGCGAGGCCATGTAACGCAATGCGAAGCAATGCAACGCAATGCAAAGTAATTCAAGCCAACGAAAAGCCTTGCAAAGCCATGCAAGGCGATGCAAAGCAAAGCAAAGCTATGCAGCGCAATTCAAAGCAACGCAAAGGAACGCCAAGCAACGTAATGCGGTTGCAATGCGATTCGACGCAACGTAATTCAAAGCATTACAAAGCGAAGCAAGGCACTGCTATGCAATGCAAAGCAATGCAAAGCGATGTAAGGCAATGCATAGCAAAGCAATCCTAAGCAATGCAAAGAAACGCAAAGCAACGCAACGCAACGCAATGCGATTGGAATGCAAAGCGACGCAAAAACTGAAAAGCGACGCAAGGCGGTTCAAAGCAAGGCATAGCAAGGCAAAGTAATACCATGGCAACGCAATGCGATAATGCAGTGCAAAGCAATGCAAAGCAACACTAAGCAATACAAAGCAACACAAAGCAATCCAAAACAACGCAAAGAAATGCAAAGCAATGCAAAGCCATACAATGCAATGAAAGGCGGTGCAAGGCAATGCCAAGGAATACAAAGCAACGCAAAGCATCCCAAAGCAACACAACGCAAGTGTAAGGTGAAGCAATGTTTCTACCCCCGTTTGGGCCCCCCTCTCTTTTCCCGCCGCTCCACCGAAGGTTAGTCAGAGCAATGGCCTCGAGGGCCTGTCTCACGGGGTGCCTGGATCCCTTTTGGACCCCTGAGACGGCGCCAGACGCCCCCAGGAGCTCCAAGAGGGCCACGAGAGGGCCCGCAAGAGGCTCCAAGAGGCCGCTGAGAGGCCTCACAAGGCCCCCGAGGAACTCCCGGGAGGCCCCACCACGACTCGACGGCACGTGCTCCGGAGGTGCACCCCCGCGCAGCGAGAGGCATCGCCGGCCTCTGGCCGGGCGCCAGCCTGCAGACCCTGCAGTCCGCCAGCCTCAGGCCTCCCCTGTCTGGCCATCGCTCGGACGTCCATTCCCTGTTGTTTTTTTTTTGGGGGGGGGGGTCATGCGTTTCTTTTGAGGTTTCGTGCGTGGTTTCTTGGCCAAGTGATCAAGCATGCTCCTCGATGGTCCTCGCCGAAGGAAAAATGCACACGTCCGAGCGATGCCAAGCCTGTGGGCGCCGCACACCGACGAGGCGCCGCCGAGCCGCTGGCCGTCGTGCCGCACCGGGCCGGCCGCCGCGCCGGGGGGCGCGGGCTCGTGGCGGACCTCCAGGGCCCTGGCGGCGCAGCCGCAGGCGGCGGCCAGGGCGAGCAGGCGCGCGGCCGCCATCGCGCCAAGTGGGCTGGCGCCGCCGCGCCCGCGGGCGGGCGCGGGTAGTACGTAGAAGATGCTGACCACCTGCCAGACCACCCCAACCCAACCCGAAGGCCCGAATGTCGGGTTGGGTGGGGGGGGGGGTAAGGGTTCCATCTGTGCTTTTTGTTCCATGTTCCCCGATCCCCCCCCCCCCACACACAAACTGGAAATGGAGGGCAAACTGAGGACTTCGGGTTGGGTTGGGGTGGTTTGGTGGGTGGTCAGATACGGCGTATAAGTGAGTGCGTAAAGCAGAAGAATGGCTATGATACAGGTGGCTGGTGTGTGCTGGGTTTGGGCTCCGAGGCGGCGGCGCCCACCAGCCAGCGTGACTCCCGCCAAAGGCGGTGGTGGCATGCTGCTGGTCTCGTGTCGCTGGTCGGCCGTATCCCCCATGCTTCCTGAGGAAAAGCACGCATTACTGGCCATCGCTCGGACGTCCATTTCCTGTGTTTTTGTTCGGTTTCGTACGTGGCTTTTTTGCCAAATGATCAAGGATGCTCCTCGATGGTCCTCGCCGAATGAAAAATGCACACGTCCGAGCGATGCCAAGATTATGCAATGCATTCTTGGACGTGCCTGTTGCCATTGCTGGCGACGGCCGTTTTGGTCGCCAGGATGCGCCTTTACATAACGCCTGCCAGGAAAGCAACTGGAGTACGACGCGAAACAAAAAGGGGAGGGAGGGAACCCTTCTGATTTGGTCAAAGCCCTTCACCACTCCTGGCGCGGTACGTGCGGCGTCAGGGAGGGCGGCCCGTACATCTCCCTTCCCACTATAGGGTAGGGTGCGGAGTCCCTGTGCGGCACGGGGTAAGCACGGAGTGACACCACTGATTTCGACCGAGGGGGGCCGAGGACGACTCATGACGGCATCAAGACGGCACAACGTGGCACCAAGACGGCCCCCCACGAGCCCAAGACAGCCCCAAGACGGATCAGGCAGGTCTCATGAGAGCACCTCAATGAACAGATTCGAGAGACGTCACATGTTACGACTGTCTGGGAGATGCTCGAAGCGTCGCCAAACATAATGCTGTGCTGGCACGGTGGCGGGACTTGCCGCAGACAGCTGGATAGCTCTCTCATCGCCTACCACCGAGCGTGTCGGTAGGGTGGCCCAGGTGTTTCGCCTGAGACTTCCCCACCGTGAACGGCTTCGAAGCTTGGAGCATCCAACAGATGAAACGGACGGAGGGCGGTCGGTTTTCAAATGTGGCTCTCGTCTGGGCGCCCCAAACCCTCGTCTCGGAGACTTCCAGCTGTTGAGCGGGTGGAGGGCGAACCGTGTTCAAAATGCGAACCGTTTTCAAAATGCAGTGATTGTTCTGGCGCAGTGAAAAGTCGTCCTAAAACTTTCCATCTGCCACACGAATGACAACCGGTTGCTTTTGTACTCAAGATGTCGCATCCAAACGCCGACTAAACGGCACACCCATACACACACACACACACACACATATACAAGTGGCACGTGTGTGCCCAGGCTCATACAAAAAACTGAAGGGGCGTTTGAAGCAGGAGTGAAATGCAACATCGAAGTCGCACTCGAGCGCAAGTGGGGTTGCCACACCTTGCGATGTGTGTACCAGGACCCCCCAGGAAGCCTCAGGAGGCCCGACTTGGATACCAGAAGAGGCTCCAGGAGGCCCCAGGATTGTGAGTGTTGTGCGTGTGTGTGTGTGTGTGTGATGTATGCTTTGTGTGGTGCGTGCTTTTTGTGTGTTGTAGGTGTGTGTGTGTGTGTTATGTTTGTCTAGCGTGTGATGTGTTGGGCGTGATTTGTGTCTCTGTGTGCATGTAGTTCTGAAGCCCCAGGAGGCCCCAGGAAGCCCCAGGCGGCCTCAGGAGGCCCCAGGAGACCCCAGGAGGCTTCAGGAGGCCCCAAGAGGCTCCAGGAGGCCGCAGGAGGCCCCAGGAGGCCCCAGGAGGTTTCAGGAGACCCCCAGGAGGCTCCGAGGCGGGGTCTGGGGTGCCAGAAGGTTCAGAAAGCCCCAGGAGGCCCCAGGAGGTTCCAGGAGGCCCCCAGGAGGCTCCGAGGCGGGGTCTGGGGCTCGATTTTGGAAAGATTTTTCAAGCGAAACCGCCATTCCCTGAGAATCGGGGTCACAATTATTGAAATTACCATATGTTTTGAAGGTTTTATGTTAAAATGTTGAAATTCCCATGTGTTTTTGGACCCTGACGTCACGATCTGCGTGAGGGGTGCCACCGATTTTCAGAATTTCGAAGATGTCCCGAGCGAAACGCCCAGAAAAATCGCGGACGCGTGCGCATTAATCGCCTCTGAGCTCTACTCCCTCGGAGAGGTGCGTATGATAATATGTATATACAAATATAAATCCACGCATACATGCCGATCTACATATACAGATGCATATACACATGCATGTACATAGACATGTACATCTACATACACGCATACATGTACATATACATACACATATACGTATACATATACTTCTACATATACTTATGCATATACGCATGCATATACATATACGTATGCATGTGCGTAAATATATACAAATACACATGCATATGCATATACATATACATGTGCATGTACATATGCATATACATATACAGTTGTATATACATGTACATAGACATAGACATGTACATGAACATATACATAGACATATGCATAGACACAGACATGTACAAGTAGACATATACACATACATATACATATACAAATGCATACACAACTACACATTCAGTTTCATATACATACCTATATATGCATACGTATACAATTACAAATACAAATACATATACATGTACATAGACATGTACGCATACATATACATATACGGATACATGTGCGTATGGATATATATGTACATATACCTACACATACACATGTACATACACACATACATATACATGTAAATACACATATACAAATAGCTATGACTGTACATGTACCTATACATATCCATATCGATATGTAGTTATATACATGTATATATGTGCATATGCATATACCTGTACATGTGCATGCACATATATAAATGGATTCGCAACTACATATACACATACACATACATATATATATATATATATATATACACATATACGTTCACAAATACATATATATATATATATATATATATACATATACACATGCATACACATACACCTATGCATATACGTATACATACTTATACATACACATATACATATATCAATACATACACATGTGTATGTATATCTGTATGTATATATATATAATCCGTGGTGGGACCCCCTTCCAAAAAAACAGAAGACCCCCCGGACCCGTGGTCCTGGGAGCGCCCTGGACGCCCCTGCAGGAGGTCCCCTGGGCTTCCCGGGTCTCCTGGAAGCCCCTGCTGAGCCTATGCAACGGGCCCGAATCGGTCAGGAGGGCGGCCGAACGGCCCAGCGAGAGCCCCGAGAGGCCCCGGACACCCACCAGATGCCCGAAGACGACTCAAAGAAGACCCCCAAGAGGCCTTCGAAACTCAATGGTTTGAATGATTTGGGGAATGCTCTGCTCTTCGGTCTTCCGGGCGTCCGAGGCCGCCCAGGAGGCAAGAAAATCACCAAAAAGCTAACCAAGAGGGCTTCCAGGCAGTCCAAGAGAGCCCCAAAACGGCCCAACGGCCCCAAAATGGCCCGAACCCATGACGGCCCAAGATGGCCCCAAAATGCCCCCCGAAGCATTCCAAATCGTGACCCGGTCGTTCACGGAGGTCGTGGTTGGAAGAAGGGTGGCCCGAGGAAGCCCCCAGAGGCCCCCTGGAAGGAACCCAGAAAACCTCCAGCAGGCCCCAAGAAGCCATTACAAACTTTCTTGTGGCCCCCAAGAGGCTCTCCAAGGAGGAGCCTCCGAAAAAACAACTGAGGATGGGACAGATTCACATGGTAGGGAAAAAATGAAGAAGACGAAGAAGAAGAAGAAGAAGAAGATAAGGATGATAAATCCGCCGGCCCCCTTGTGGGGCCACCAGGCTCCGCGGGATAGGCTTGCTGCTCCCTGAGCCAGTTCCAGCTTACAGTCTCCAATGTTACAGACCTGCTTTTTGCTTCCTACTGTGAGTCGTTGAAGTCCGCGCGATAGGGGGGGGGGGGCGAAAAGGTCCCAGAATACCACCTCCTGGGGTGGATTCTCAAAATTTCCGGGGAGTCCTGCGACAAAGGAGAAACATAAAATTCGCGCCCCCGAAGCCGTAATCCCTTGTAAATCATACCGTGCTCGCACCCTCGAGACCAAAAACCCTCGCAAGTTACGCTATGTTCGCGCTCCCGAGACCATAATTCGTTATAAATTATACAATGCTCACGTCTCCGAGGCAATATCATCTTTTTAAGTATACCATACTTGCGTCCCGAAGCAACGATCCCTTGTGAATTACGCGCTCTGCGCGTCCCCGAGATCAGAAACCCTTGTAAATGTACTCAATATTAGCGCTTTCGAGGCCACAATCCTTCCTAGAAGGCCCCCCAGGACGGTACAAGAGGCTTCCGAGACTGCCCCAAGAGTGCCCCAAGGCGCCAAAGATAGTCCCAAGACGGCCCAAGAGGCTCCCAAGAGACCCCCAAGAGCGCTCCAAGAGCACCCCCAAGAGGATCTCAAGAGGCCAACATCTGCGATGTTCCTTACGTGTGTGGTGGGTTTGGGCACGCTCGCCTTTTCGCGCTTCCGACGCTTGAAGACCGCCAAAGAGACCCCCAAAGACCGCCCTAAGACGGCCAAAGAGGCTCTCAAAAGCGCCCCCAGACAGTTCAAGAGGGCCCCAAGACGGCTCAAAAGACCCCAAAGATGCCCTAACAAGGCCCCAAGACGGCACCAAGAGTGACCCGAAACGGGGAACCCGAACCCAAGTGGCCCCCGTTCGGAGTTCCGACGCTGCTTCACGACGGGGCCCAGGCCTCATAACATAGCTCTTGCACACTCCATTCTCCGAAAGAGGGCTCCTACGGATGATATTAGTGCAACGGCGGTGTCGGAAAAGGCGACGAGGAGCTAGTGCTCATTTTTCAGTTTTAACTTCTTGCCTTTCCGCCCGCATGCCAAACATCAAGGACCAAGGTGCATGGCGCGAAGCGCGAATGCAGCCTTTTATATCTCTATGAACATATATATATATATATATATATATACACTCGAACCACGCGCGCGCTTCGCGCGCGCTTAGGTTCTAGTCGACCCCATCCCTTGAGGAGGTCCCGTATCCACTGAAGTGATTACCCATTGATGGTGTAAGCATGAGGTACAAGAAGCATCCATAATGCTGGCCGAACAGAACCCAAGCACCGACAAGGACATATGCTCCTTAATCCGCCGACCCTGTCGGCGTGTGTGAGGCGCTCTTCCGTTTGTCGTCGTCGGTGTCGTCGTCGCCGTCGCCGTCGTCGTTGTCGTCGTC